GGGAGGGGAAGGGAGGGATGACCTTCCCAGGGAGGCCCCCACGACCTGTCTTTGATTGCCTCTTTTGACATTTTTGCCAAAACACCACTAGTGGAAGTCGGGCTGGCTGTGCTGGTATGGAATGGCAGCCTCACACTGGCATATGGACTGTTCTGTAGATTATTAATACAAGTGGAGCTGTCTTTAATTTAACTTTATTGCTAGAAATAAAAGGGTTTTAAGATGAAATAACTTGAATGGAATGGCCCTCATTTTTAAAAAAAAATGAAGTTCTGTGGTTCCAGTAAGGATTTATGTGCACGTCGTCTTCAGTTCAAGTGCCGTATGTTTGTTACCATATAGCAGCGTGCCCTGTGGCACGCTCAATCTGTCATGCTGTATCTTATAATCCCCAAACTGAAAGATTTTTAGAATTTGGGGGTTTATTAATCCCCAGGGATTAGGCCATTTAACCTTTTGTTAAGATGTTTATTAGAGTAGCTTTACAGTATTAACACTAAATTACAGTTTACAGTATTTCTACATTACAGCCATATGTGACATCAAGCCATTGATTGTATAATTTTCTTTTGCTAGTTCATTTTGGCTTGCCATCCTTATCTGGTCCTAGCTGGTGGACTGGTTTAGCTATTCTTTGTCTCCCAAAGTGAGAAGACTGCCTGCTTGAGGAACATCAAAGCTGCTTTAATTTTTTTTTGTTCAACTTGACAGGTGCTTGGCAAGCGGCTGTTTTAAACTATTAGTCCACAGTAAAGGAATTACACAATTAGAAAGGGGGGAAAGCCTTTAAAGTAAAAATGCCACTAAGTAAGTTAATTCAGGTCTGTATGTCATGTACTGTTTGGTATTTCAAAAACTATCTGATTTAAGGTGCCGCAGCTCCTCCTCAGGGATTACACTGCCATTTCACTTGCACCTGACTTTCTCGCACTGTACCATGAAGCTCATTGGCAGATCTCTGGCACCCAGACTCCCTTGTCAGCTCTCACGGAAGCTGGGTGTTCGTTCACCTGAGTTCATGGTGTAATGAGTGAAATTTCAGGATCTTAAAAACTAAATTTGGTAGAGAAATCCACAAAGGAAGAGCTACAGTCGTCAATGTTTCTGCCCAACATGACCCTGTAATTTTAGTTCTGTTTTAAAACCTCTTCCTTTTTTAATTTTTTTTATTTTTAAAAGACTATTTTATTTGGGTTGGTGAAAATAATAAAAAGCTTACCGGGTAATATTTACTCCTATTTGAGTAATGATTTTTTACATGATTGTTGGAAGTTCACTGTTTCCTTCTCTGACTTGCAGATCGCTGTACTCTGTGGCTTCTTAACTAAAGTTTACGCGGTAGAAGGAAACTGCATTTGTCACACTTTTAAAACAGGCTTTCATTGTCCCTTTTGCTAGTCAGTCTAAACAGAGCATTTTGGTGTTGCATATACAGTACAATCCGTTTTGTTCAATTGGGTAGCGAGTCTGGCATTACTAGACTTCTAGAGCTAGCTTTTTTCCTTTTAATTTTTAATTGAGCAAAGTTAACAGGCCCTTTTCAGGAAAGAGAGTTCCTACTGGGTTGCTTTTAAAGGTGATGTTCCTTACAAAATTGACCCTGCAAAGATGGACAGAAATCCATGTGACTGCTTGTTTGGTCCTATCGCACATACTTGGTGAATGTACTATATGCAACATCTCTTGGCTTACAAAAAGTGGCTTCAGTGGAAGGGCACCTCCTGTAAATTAAACCAAAATAGCCTGATTAAGGAACCCTACTCGAAAGATCAATAAAGAGGCTTGCAGCTTAGGTAACTGACTGAAACCTACAGGAAATGCCTTGGACTGGAAGATTTTATTTAGGCTTCTTAACTCTTTATTTAATTTACCTTCATGTTCAGTGAGCAGTGTTGTCCCTACCTGTATAATTTGGAAGTGATTTACTGGAATTACAAAACCTATTTTTTTTATTTCAGCTTTTGCTCTGGCTGCTTTAGACAATTTAAACAGGAAAGATCGCACAAGAGGGCTAAACATGGAGTGGGGTTGGGGACTTGATTTTTAAGCAGCTTGAATGGTTTCTTTCATTTTTTTAAGAAATGCACTTGCCTATGATACTGTCTCTCCAGTGAAATGACTGCTCCATTACTCTATTGATACAATATTGTGCATGCTAGTGTTGTATTTCTATACAGTAGCTTGAAATTTATTAACTTATACTGTAGATGTTATGTATTCCTATGACAAAATAGTCTTCAAAATTTTTTAAAGTTTTTTAATTTATTTTTTTTCTTTTGGGGGTAAAGTTTGCTCTACCAAATAGTGATCGTAACAAACTGATCTGTTATGGATGTTGCTATAGTGACATGCAATTATATATGATTTTGTTTAAAAAAAAAAAAAAAAAGGAAAAAAGCAAAAGAAAACACCAGTGTTAGCTTAATCTTAATGTCTGGTGTTCGTCATGGTGAAATTATAACTATTACAGTGTAGGAGAACAATGACTATGTTCTTTGAATGAGCCTTTGTTTGTGCTTTTTGTCATGTTATGCAGTGAACTATTTTTAAGGTCTAATCAGTGATTATTTTTCCAACTCCGTGTTTCTGTAAGGATTATTTCACACACGGACCATTCTTAGCAGTTTTCCTCAGTGATGGAATATCATGAATGTGAGTCATTATGTAGCCGTTGTACATTGAGCAAATAAACTTACAGATCTGATGTCAGTGCTACTTAATTGTATTACATGTGTTGCGTTTATTCGTTGGTTTGGGGTGGGGTTGGGGGGAAGGGCTTTGTAAACCAGTTTAGTTCATAAGCAGATAGTTTTTAAAACTGGGGATTAGTCTTGAACACTTCAATTTGATGACAAATGACTGCTTCCCATTTGTGGCCTACCTCTCTTGGGTGGGGGGTAGGGTGAGGAGGGGGCAGACTGACTGGGTGGCTCATTACAATACATCTCACCAGAGATCTGGAATTGTTCAGGATCCTGATCCTTAACTTGCACAAAACAAATGGCTTGAGAGCGGCTCTGCAGTGATGGGCTCCCCTGTTTTAAAGTTTGTTTCAGTAACTCGAATCCAGAATGCTGCCTAGAGCAATGTTGCAAATTGTTTTGCAATTATGAACAGTTCATATGAACTGTCTGGGGAGCATAACTAGGGCCTAGGTGTGAAGGCTGGCTGACACCTCAGAGGAGGAAAAGCAAACTGACAAAACTATGCCTGCCTTCAAGTATTGCCCATATAGCAATAGTCTCTGTTTTTAAAGGAAAAAAATCTGCGTATGTATTGAGTACAGTAGCAGAATGAAAGATATCTGGGACAGTAAAAGTGCTCCCACTCTTCCATGCTCATGGGAATTAAAATGCATGCCTTGAATTTCCAACCCAATCTGCAGAAGGATTGGGTGTCTGGCAAGTTTGGTTATTATCCTTCAATATTGGATGGCTCCTGATTTTTAAAGGGAAGAGTCACTGATCTCTAACCTTTAATAGAGGTGGAAGACTTTGTCAGCTGAAAGACTGTTCAAACTACCCTGGAGTCCCCAAAACAAAACACATCAGTATTTTAAATTATCTTGGATACAAATGTAGCAAACACAATATTTCTGCACCTTTTCTAGATATAGGAGCATGTATTGCCGTTTGTGGACAGCTACCACTTTGCTGTTGCAGTTACCTGCTTCAATAAATCTTCAGTAAAATGAAGACTTTTTTATTATTCAAGCCCTTACAAGGTAGAGTACCCCTAAAGCTTTCCCATTGGGTCAGTACACTCTAGAAAATGCTAAATTTTACAAATGTGCTAGCTCAATTTTGGTAGACTACCATTGCACCACAACTCCATTAGAGTAGAGCAGAGACTCCAACCTTAAAGTTCTGTCTTCACCATGAAAGTGTACTCTCTTCTCAATTTGGGTTTCTAAACTAAGTTTTCTTTCTTCTCTGGGTGGCTGTTCTGTTTAGCACTTAGCATGAATGTAGTCACTTGTAGGCCAGGCAGAAGAACTGACTCTGAGTGGGTGCATCTACACATGCATTAATGTGCTTTAGCTAATGCACATTAAATCTTGTGCCTCAGGGCACTTTTACATGTGCTCTGGGAGGCTTGCTGAATGAGCTTTAGTTCAAGTGCTGCCACCCCATTTTTAAGTGCAAGGACACTGATGTACAAGGTGCAGGAGGCTGCTGGAGCGTAGCAATTGCCACACTTCAGCAGATTCAATTAACGCCCTCTATTATGAGGTACTAGGAAAATATGCATTAGCTTGGCTTAGTTTTTAGTTAATGCACTTTAAGTGATACGCAGTGTGCATTAGCCTATTTTATTGCACATTAAGTAAGGCACGTGGTTTTTTTTACGTGATACTTTTATGTGCATTAGAATAGGCGAGTGTACATTAAAGCAAATAGGTAGATGTGCCCACTCTGTCATAGCTTTAGGCAATTGAAGGACAACAACTTCAAAATGTTACAAAAACAAACCTGCATGGATGAGAAACACAAGCGTGGAGTGATTTACAGGGTTTCTCAGGGCCACCTGTTGGAAGCACAGTCCTTTAACAGATTGCTACTGGGAATGTTGAGCCAAATGCAAGGAGTGGGGGGCAGAAGGAATGGTTGGGAAGGCTGTGGAACAAAAGGAATGAAGAGGTCCCCCTTCAACTTTTTTTTTTCCAACTACATATTGAGATGGTCTCAAGCTCGAAGAGCTGAGACTTGGGGTGTGGGGGGGAAGAAGGTTATGACAGACTTCTTTTTTGTTTGGGTTTTTTTACTTTGAAGTCATGTGAGATCAGGGTATTGTGTAAGAGTGGTAGCTGAACCTGAAGGGAAAGGATGGATTTTTGGAGATGTCCCAGTGAAAGAAAGCTATAGACTGAATCGGGACAAAATGAAGATGTGGGTGATTCAAGCCTGGTGTA